TGCAGAAAAACCTTGTCTATTACATGGTAGTTTTATAGGACTATTATACAAAAATCTAGGACATACGCCTATGTGAATGAGGAGACTATATCTATTAGATCTAGCCAACTGACAGGACAACTTTCTGCAAAAGAAGAAATTAGGAAAAGATGGAGTTGGAAAGGTCATACACTGCACAGACCACCAACCAATTAATACAGATATGCCTACGCCCAGGGGCGTAGCGAGGGGGGGGGGGCGGGGGGTGCGGACCGCACCGGGTGACACCATTTAGGGGGGTGACACCAAGGCAAAAAATAGCAAAATATATAGAGAAAAACTTGACGGGGGGTGCAAAATCGAAAGTTTGAGGGGGGTGCAAATTGAAAGTTTGAGGGGGGGGGGGTGCAAATCGAAAATTTGAAAGTTTGTCCCCGGGAAGGGTCGCTATGCCTATGGGTGGGGGGGGGTGACACCATTAACGGCCGCACCGGGTGACACCCGACCTCGCTACGCCACTGCCTATGCCTGATAGGGCATACACTGCACAGACCACCAACCAATAAATGCAGATATGCCTACGCCTGGCAACCAAAAGTAGGAACAGTCATACATAAAAAGAGAAATTTGAAGCCAGAAAGAGTAACATACATGTGGATGCTACTTTACTAAGTCTAAAATAAAAATAAATAATTTAAAATAAGTCTAATGACATTATCTAATAGCAGATCTAGTATTAAATTATCCTGGTAAATATTGTTACTAGCAAGGAAATGGAAATGTGTGCCAAAAGAAGATAATCACTTTTCAGTGCTCTTGTTTTCAATTCTATTAGTTTTCTTTATTAAATATTATTTTGAAAAAGTGGAACAAACTTCGACAAAAGCAGGATGGCGGAACAGGACACAATTTTTTTTTTGTAAAAAAAAAAGCAGAACAATTCCGCTTTAGGTGGGATGTTAGGCATGTCTGTTAATATCACTAGGCAGGTTTTGAGGTAGAACCCTCAAGGAAAGCATAAAAGAGGTTGACCAAGAAACACCAGCACCTGGCAACAGGACATGGAAGCTGAAACTACAAAAATGGGCTTCATTTGGGAATGGCACAAGTCAGAGGACTCTGGTGTAGATCTTTGGTTGGTGACCTATACCCCAGTAGGGGTGACAGGCAGTGATGATGATGATGATTAGATCTAGCCTAGATTTATTTATAATTATAAAAATACTTTAAAAATGACTTTAATACTATACATTGTTAATTTAAAAAACTAATAATAATTATCATAGATATTGCTTAGGCCTATAATTAATTATCAGGGCTAGCCCAATACTAAATCAATAGGATTAGCCTAGAGCTTGATAAAAATTAGGAGGCCTAATAGTATAATATTATAATATAAATATAATTAACTGACTAGATCAAAAACATACTAGAAATCTAAAACAAATTTTAAAATTAATGAAGTTAAATGAGATAGCATGAAAGAATATTGTCTGGCACCGTCCATATCTCATCTGCCCAGACATATCAATTAGCATACACCTGTCTCCAGATCCATAACATACAGGAGTCTAGCCAATGGACACTAAAGAGTTTAGACAAAGGCCAAGGCTATTCCCAATTGGTTGGGAATAGCCATTTTGCTATCATTTCATGCAAAATACGACTGGGAATAATATCTACAATAATGCATTTATTGTAAATGGAGAAAATGGGATAGACTGAGAGAGTGTAGAGCTATTTTGATTGTTATATTTTTAAAAGAAAAAGTATTATGGTTTAAGTTTAGTTTAGGCTCATCTCTGCTATGTAGATGATCAATAAGTAATTTATCAGGGCTTTTAAATTAACAATATTATGCATCAGTTAAGTTAGTGATTCACGTTGTTATTCAACTGTCAATTACCATTTTAAAATTCACATAGAACAAATAACAGGTGAGTGAAATAGCATATCCGTATTAAATTTAATCAGATATTATTCATGTCCGTTAAAATGAGATGTTATTCATCCTTCAATCACAATTTTCCCAAGTTGTTTAACGTTTTTCCTCTCAAAGCAAATTCTAAGAGACGGGTCTTGTTTTTAATGCAAATATCTCCCCCCCCCCCCATTCACGTCACAAACTGAAAGAAAATTGGTCCTTACAATACTTTCATGAGTAATGAAATGGCAAAAAAATTGAGAAAATACAATGAATGCCAAATATAAGAAAACATATGATGGGTTTTAACCTGCAGCAACTTCTGGCAAGACAGCCACACAATGTTTTTAACATAAAAATTAAATATAACTTACGAACAGTTGGGAATAGTAAGTGCTAATTTAGCTGTTCCCAAACGGATACCGCAGTTATTGGTGACAAAGGATAAAAATTGTGTTTTTGTCAATTTTGCAGTAAAAAAAAACAACCTATGTTAGGAAGAGTTATCTATTTATCAGATATAATAGATCTATAAGTAATTAGTACCCACAATCATCCAGAACAAGATTTAGTCATTCTAGTCTATAGGCCTAAATATAAATAGTAAATATTCATTTAATTTTGTCTATTCTTTTAAATTCTTAGAATAACGCTAAGTCAAAACTCTGTCAGTTTGTGAGTCTATCAAAAGTTGTTGTGTTTTAAAAGTTTTATTTTTGATAATCTATCGTTTTAAGCAAACAAAATTGTCAGAGGCTAGTAATGTAAAAAAAGTGACTCTTTATTATTGCTTTAATACAACTTTTCAGTAAAAAAAATATTAAATAAAGACTAGCAATGTTTTCATCAGATGCAACCAAGCTCATTTATTTAAGAAGCCATCTTGTTTGAATTTTTTTTGGTAAAATTATAGTAAGAGATTCAGGGGAAACCACTGCAACTTACAGATGGCAACTTTTTATATAGTAAATCCTGCTCGCAAACACTGCTGTTTAAAGTTAATTTCTGGCCTATATTGATTTATTTAGCCATTGATTTAGGTTTATTATTCATTTATCTATAATATTTGACACAAATATATCACAATAAACTTCTATTAAAGCATTGACAATGAGGTAACTTTTTCATACATTAGAAGCCGCGGGCGATTTTACGTACCCAAAACGATAGATTACCCGAGAGACTGACGAGAGAGAGTTACTACAGAGTACAGACAGTACACTTCAGTACAGACTTTCAGACTTTAATAATAATACAGATTACAGAGAGAGTACAGAGTCACAATATCTTTCAATACAGTAGACTTGAGTAGATTCTAGGGTAAAACCTTAGTTTAACGTCGGAAATTATTGGGTAATGTTTGTTGAGTTTTGGTAACTAATTTTATGGTAAACCATGATTTATTTGAGATTTTGACCATAACCATTGTCATTGAACTATTGATTAGGCCTATTGATTATTGTTATTGATAGGCTAAATAATAAATATTAAAATAAAGATAAATTTGATTGTAGTAAAATATTTTTTTTAAGTTTAATAGACAAAGGTAAAAGGAAACAGGAAAAAATAGGGGCCTATAGAATAGGCCCTATCTATAATAGAATACTATAGATCTAATAGATAAATAGATTTAAATTAATAGAAATTAGGTCAAGCTGCCATTATTAAAATATTAATTATTCGCCCCGTAAATACATGGGCAGTTTCGAGTAAAAATCTATCCGATTACGATACAATCCTTAGTTTTAACTATCATGTACTTCATGAGAAAGAAATGATTCGATATTTTATATGGCCGCCCAAAACACAGGTGCTTCAAAACCGCGAGAACGAGATTTCACGAATCGAAAAACCTACCTATATTATATTTATATTTTTTTTAATTTTTAGATCTATTAATTTAAATCTATTTATCTATTAGATCTATAGTATTCTATTATAGATAGGGCCTATTCTATAGGGGATAGGCCCCTATTTTTTCCTGTTTCCTTTTACTTTTGTCTATTAAACTTAAAAAAAAATAATTTACTACAATCGAATTTATCTTTATTTGGTAATCTATCGTTTTGGGTACGTAAAATCGCCCGCGGCTATTTATGTACGAAAACGTTACCACATTGTCAAGGCTTTAATAGAAGTATATTGTCATACTTTTGTGTCAAATATTATAGATAAATGAATAATAAACCTAAATCAATGGCTAAATATATCGATATAGGCCAGAAATTAACTTTAAACAGCAGTGTCTGAGAGCAAGATTTGCTATATAAACAGCAGCCATTTGTAAAATAGAGTGACTTCCCCCTGAATCTGGCGCTTAAAGCTTATAAAAATAAAACTTAGACAAGATGGCTGCTATAGTAAATGAGCATGATTGCATCTGTTGGAAACATCGCTAGTCTTCATTTATTACGGAAAAGTTTTAATTCAATTGTTTAAAAACAGGTACATAAATGAATCAAGGAAACATTTTTGAATTTTTTAAAACATAAATCCTCCTCAAAATGTGAAATAATTATTAAAATTTAAGGAGTCACCTGTTTTTCACATTACAAATCGCGGGCGATTTTACGTACCCAAAACGATAGATTACCCTTTATTTTAATATTTATTATTTAGCCTATCAATAACAATAATCAATAGGCCTAATCAATGGTTCAATGACAATGGTTATGGTCAAAATCTCAAATAAACCATGGTTTACTGTAAATTGTAAAATTAGTTAGGCCTACCAAAACTCAACAAACATTACCCAATAATTTCCGACGCTAAACTAAGGTTTTACCCTAGAATCTACTCAAGTCTACTGTATTGAAAGATATTGTGACTCTGTACTCTCTCTGTAATCTGTATTATTAAAGTCTGAAAGTCTGTACTGAAGTGTACTGTCTGTACTGAGTGTACTCTGTCTAGATCTAGAGTCTAGTAGATTCTAACTCTCTCTCGACAGTCTCTCGATTCTAGATCTAGAAATCTAGATTTCTAGATCTAGATTAGATCTAGATTCTAGATCTAGATCTAGAATCTAGCTCTAATCTAGATTAGATCTAACACATAACTCATATTAGTATTGCTATTTAAAAAAAAAACTACTCACATAAAGTCTCAGGATGACAGTGACAGTGTTAAGATTACAAATTCTAAATTTTAACAACTTTCCAAAACATACATAAGCGCCATGTTGAAAATGTGGCAGATTAACACTTCCAGGTCACAACCGGCTATCAAGATAAAGGTACATAATCCAGTAAAAGCTTAAGTTATAACATATATGGTAGCTTGTTCCCCCTGTCTAAGCAAGTGTTTATTAAATGCGAAAAAATATGTATATAATGTTTATATCTAGGCCTAAATATTATTTACATAATAACCTAATCTTTAAAAAAATGTTTAGTTAAATTGTTTTACGTCCATTAAATAATAATTATTATCTGTTACAAAAGGTTACCTAAAAATAAATGCATTGTATTTGTTGACGTGTTTCCGTGCACTATTTTCGTGTAGGCCTAATGTTAATTTCTTTTAATAAAGGAAATGAATTATGTGCATCACACTGAGATTTGGCGTAGAAGACAGACATTAATATTTTAATTATAGTTTTTTTCAGTGATTACAGTTCCTCTTTAGACCTGGCGTTCCATTCGGCAGATGAAGTAGAGTTCATATGTTTCTTTTGACCTCTGTATAAAAAGGGATTGTGTAAAGTGTTTCTTCCAGACTTTTATTTATATTTTTAGAGGGGGGAGGAGAGGGGGTAGGAGGGGGGCTGGACACTGGTAAAATAAAGTGTTCTAAATAAATTCCATTTTGTTCAGGGGGGGTGGCGGCGGTAAAACATTTTCTGGTGGGCTTTGCTTCCCCGAAGAGATGACTGGAAGAAACTCTGTGGTTGGCATTATATGTGTACACAGCTGCCTTTACTTTCCCATTGTAAGTCAGGTACCTATCAGTGCTGGTAGGGCTCACTGAGATCCACACTCAATACTTTAGGGATAGCAGACAAACGCTCTACCATTCAACCATGCCATCACCTTTTATTTTATAAATGATTAATTATATTTTTTAAAAATAATCTGATTTTTGTACAGATAAGCGCGCCACTAAAGCAAGTAAATTCACTTTGTAAAGGTTTTAAAAGCTTTAAAAAATAAAAACAAAAGAATTTCCAGTTTATATTTATTTTAAACCGAAATCCAACATTTTTCAACATTAAAAACATTTGTACTCATACAACTTGATGAGATAGTAAATGAAGTGGATTTAAAAAAGGCTGTTACAGTAGGCTCATATTGTTTTTTTTTAAACATTTTAAATACTCATGTGTTCTGTTTTGGTAGCTTATAAACTAATAGGAACTTGAGAAATTAAATTTGATTTTTTTTTTAATTGGTTGGATACTGGAAAAGAAATGTAATAACAATAATAACAACATACACTTAAGTGGACATTGGTTTTAAATTGTATTACTCGGCTTTAAATTCAAGGATTAAATTATTTTTAAAATGTGTTGTTGTGCCAACCTAACATGTAACACTTATAATAAACTAATGAAAGTGTAGTGAGATTAGCAACAGAAACATAATGAAAGATCTAGGGCAGATATAATATAAGAATGATCAACAAATATTTTCTAAGTGGTAAGTGGTATCATAATATTACATATATGTAAATTTTAAAGAAATATTAAAAGTCTGTTTATTTTTTACATAAAAATCCCAACATGTTTGCAGCATAAGCACACATAGTTCAAACTACAAAAGTGTGTAGCATTGAAGAAATAAAAAATACCCCTTAACCAAAAACAGTTTAAAAGATGAAGTTTCCCATAACCCAGCAACAGCTTAAAATTTAAAAAAAAAATTACCCACTAGAAATTTTAAAGAAAACAAATTTAATTTTGATAGAAGTTAGCAGTTACAAAAAACATCTTATATTAATAAATTATTTGCATAGATGTTTATTTTTTTACTGTAAGGATATAAGAATTCAACATTACTAAAAACTTATGTCAACCTTAGCACTCAAATTTTAGTTACACTGTAAAAAGATAACAAGATTTCTTCATTAAAAAGGCAACAAGTGAAATCTTTAACATAAAACAAAGTGCAGTTATATTATTGTAGTAAATTATTTAAAATTTAACACTCTATTATTGTTTATAGCTTTAGAATAGTTTAACCAAATGACTAAATAAAAATTGATAGGTCTACAACAAAATTTGTTTTACAAAGAACTCAGCATTTTAATTTAAAAAATTAACAATATGATGAAGAGTGACTTTTGAAAAGCTGAAGATTTTTAAAACATTTGCATTATGCACCCAAATAAATAAAGATATACTAAACTTTAGAATCGTTTTCAAAATCGATTTATGAAGACATTTTACTGGCAAAAGAATATGTATTAGAAGATATCAATACATTAATTTTGTTAAAACAATAATAATGGCCTAATAGGGCTAATTTGCAATTATTAATAAAAAGAATAACTCTCTTCCATAAAATTCAAATAATTAGCTGCCATTTATTCTATGTCACACTTCAGATTACCAGAGGTCAAAGGTTATGTTTAAGTATACAATATTTACAAGGAATCTATAAATCTAAATGCAATCACATGCATTCAACAACATTAAAAGAAAAATTTTAACGGGCAGAATTTTACTGATGTTGCCTTACTGTTTTGTTTATCTCATTATTTAAGAAAAAGATTTATTTTTGTTTTGGTTTTATTCCCATAATCTGTTAACCCCCATCTTTCAAACATTGATACTCATATCTCATCAACAATATAAAAACTAAATTTAACAGTTTAATTTTTAATTAGTAAAAGTATAGTGCTTTTCAGGCATGACAGCTCATGTGGCAAAAAAGTACAGTTTATCTGACCACATAGCAATATTGGTCAGCACTGTGTCCAGCATTTTTACTCTCTCAAATACCCATCAAAACTCCCTAGTCTCAAAGATTACAGTCTCTGGCTGGGCAATCATGTACTTTAGCAAGCGACCATGCCTAAAGCCTTCATGGTTTAAACTAAAAGAAATGATTGTAAACTCGTTTTTACTCATAACAGAAAATTAGTAGCTGATCAAAAATTGCTTTCAAACCACATAATAAATCAAATACATTAATACAAGTTTCAGCATATAATGAGAAAAATTGGAGTTTGATTAAAGAATATTAACAAAAAAAGTAAAAATATTACAGATATTGTTAAATGTAGTTTTGTTTTGTCAAAAATTAAAATAGCAAAACATACAAACCCTCAAAAATTGCTTAAAATTTTCTCATTAAAAACAAATTAACAAATCCCAAAAATTCAACTTTTTTTTTACATCAAAACGTGTACATCAAAATGACCAGCTAGTTGGCCAATTTAAATACTCCAACAATTATAAATTTTCCTTTTCTTAAAATTGAAGGACATACAGAAGAACTGACCTACTTAAATAAAGACTTCAGTATTTGTGCCAAGCACTTCATAACAAAAATTATAACAGAATTTTGTCCAGAGATTTTAGTTATTTTCAACTACACAGCACCCTGGAGTCTGCTCTGGGTTGCGTCCCTGTAGATGATAAAATAATAATTCATTACATTGCATTGATTTTGTTCAAATTTAAGAATAATTTTGTTTTTAAATTCCTACATTTTAAAATCAAATAGAAGGGTGCTTTCAAGGTGCTGTAGGAAGGTTTAAAATTATTTTTAAATGAATTTTCATAACTAGATCCTATTCATTTAATACTCAGTGAGTAATAAACTATGATCTACATTTTTTATTTAGAAAATTCTACATTTTCTAAATACAGATTTACATGAGATGTAATCAATAAATTCTTTATATCATACACTTACAAAAGGTGTTCTTCTTCCATATTTTGACCAGAATGTAACTTTAGAAACAGTAGCACGACCAGTTCTTTGATCAAAACACTGACACTCATCAAATGGTGGACTGGAAGAAACATAAATTAACTTTAGAATGTGACAAGACAGCTTTATTAATTATTTTAAACTACATTATTAATTATAAATAATTTTGAAAAAATAAGTAAAATAGGAAGCTGCAGTTTGTTTGTTAAAAAAATGTTTTTAAGAAGATATAAATGTTTTTATTATACATTAAATATTGTATTGTAATTATTGATTATTTTAAAAATATTTTATTTTATTGAATATTGACAGAACATTAGTAATTCAGAACAAGTGATTTTATTTGAATCAAATATTTTCTTATACAACCAAAAATGTCTTTAAATTGAATACATTCCCACTATACAGAACATTTTAACAATTTTAATGTTGCAACAATTTCTTATTTTAAGAAGTAACAAAATAGTCACATACCTGTACAAGTGTAAGGTCACTGCCTTGTCAGTGTGACTACAATTTTCAACTCGGTGAAGTCCAATGTTATCTAAAATTATAAGAATGATATCAAAAAATGTAAGAGTATCTTAAGTAAACATCAAACCTTGCCATACAAAATGTGATTACTATGTAAAAATGCTAGGAAGATGAAATAGAGAATATGAGTATATACTGCTTGTAGTACTCTGGTAAACTCAGTAACATTCATATGGGACAAATGAAATAGCATTCATCATTTTCTGTGTGATGAGCACATTGAACAGATTGTGTGGTCAACAATACAACTGCCATTACTTTCCAAAATTTAGTCAGGTAGGCTACCCGTCAAATAGCAGTTGCATGGTCTATCAATCAACTGTAACATTCCCTTCGGCTATTAGATTATAGCTTTAAATAAATAAAAATGAAAACAAATTTTTAAAATTTCTATGTCATATAACTCATAAACTATGTTCCATATTTCTTTTAGAAGGCAGAAAAACCAAATTAAACTATAAGATACAGTAGAGTTTTTTCTAATTTAAAGTTGTTCACATAACTGTAAATTAGTGACAAAATTATAAATGTTCAAATATTTGTGAGTTTAACAAACAGTTCTTAGATACATCAGTCATCAGTATAGAAGTGTTCTGCATTTAGAATACTTTTAAATTAAATTTATCATATCATAATTAAATGTATAGATTTTAAAAAACTAGCAATTTCTTATCATCATCCCTTGAAGTTCTTGAACAACAGATGAAGTAGAAAACATCTGGTTCAATGATTTTAGCATACAAGGTGATAATGTGATTCCCACTTAGTTTTTTTGTAAAATAAATCAGGTACCCTTTAGAACTGGGTAGACTCAGACTCTAGCCCAGGATCTGAACTTGAGACTTTTGAGTTATCAGTATTCAGCTCTCCTTACTATACTGCCCCAACCCCCCTCCCTCCAACTTCAATTTTTAAGTACTGTACATTAAAAACAAACACCTAAGAAACAAATCCATCTGTTTAGTGGGACCAACACTTTGATGAGCTTACCATTAATGTATGCACACTGGCCTACGGAGTACTGATTCTCTGCCCATTTTTTCATTCCACTTTCATTTCCCTCAATACTGTTGTCATTTTCTTCTTGATTGGTGGGCCATTCATAAAGTTCTTCAGTAACACTGCCATCTAGAACCTACAGAAACACAATGAATCAAACATCATAAAGTTCTTCAGTAACACTGCCATCTAGAACCTACAGAAACACAATGAATCAAACATCATAAAGTTCTTCAGTAACACTGCCATCTAAAACATACAAAAAACACAATGAATCAAACATCATAAAGTTCTTTAGTAACACTGCCATCTAAAACATACAAAAAACACAATGAATCAAACATCATAAAGTTCTTCAGTAACACTGCCATCTAAAACATACAAAAAACACAATGAATCAAACATCATAAAGTTCTTCAGTAACACTGACATCTAGAACCTACAAAAAACACAATGAATCAAACATCATAAAGTTCTTCAGTAACACTGCCATCTAAAAACCTACAAAAAACACAATGAATCAAACATCATAAAGTTCTTCAGTAACACTGCCATCTAGAACCTACAAAAAACACAATGAATGAAACATAAAGTTCTTCAGTAACACTGACATCTAAAAACCTACAAAAACACAATGAATCAAACATAAAGTTCTTCAGTAACACTGACATCTAAAAACCTACAAAAACACAATGAATCAAACATAAAGTTCTTCAGTAACACTGACATCTAAAAACCTACAAAAACACAATGAATCAAACATAAAGTTCTTCAGTAACACTGACATCTAAAAACCTACAAAAACACAATGAATCAAACATAAAGTTCTTCAGTAACACTGACATCTAAAAACCTACAAAAACACAATGAATCAAACATAAAGCTCTTCAGTAACACTGCCATCTAAAAACCTACAAAAAACACAATGAATCAAACATCATAAAGTTCTTCAGTAACACTGCCATCTAGAACCTACACAAAACAAATGAATCAAACATCATAAACTTTTAGGGCTACACTCATTTTTAAGGAGGACATACGTGCTAGAGTTAATAGAGCACTGTCCTTTCACAGTCCTGCGACCCATATGGAAAAGTTCGGCCATCTCCATTACCACAAAAATTAGGATATTTAACTCTAATGTCAAGGCAGTTCTGCTGTATGGAGCAGAGACATGGAGAGTCTCCAAAGCAAGCACAGCAAAGATACAGACCTTCACGAATAGATGCCTTAGACAGATATTGAAACTGAGATGGCAGGACAAAGTGCCGAACATAGAACTATGGAGGAAAGCTAGACAGGAGCCTTTGGGTGTGCAAATAAGGAAGAAGTGGCGCTGGGTGGGTCACACACTGCAAAAGGCTCACCCAAATGTTACATGCCAAGCGCTTGAGTGGAACCCCCAGGGAAAGCGGAAAAGAGGGCGCCCAAGACAGACCTGGAGGCGGAGTCTTCTTGAAGAACTGAAGCCAACAGGGATGTCTTGGGAGATGACAAAATTAATAGCCGGGGATCGGAAGAAATGGAAGGAAATAGTGGAGGTCCTATGTTCCATAAGGAGCAAAGGGAACTAAGTCAAGTAAGTCAAGTTTTCTAAGGTAAGAAATCATTTAATCCCATACCATTTTTCTGTAATATTAATATAAATAAGATATATATGGTAAATAAAAATCTAACAAAATCTTAATAAGTATTTAACTTTTATATGTAAGACTTCATTTGATCTACTAGTTAAGTTTCTTATTTCAGTCTATCTCTTAGTGTTTGAATAAAAAGAGTACAAAAACTAGTTTAAGTTATAAAGAAGCTCTAGAGGTTTGCCCACTGATGTGTAGATGGTTTGTACATTATTGTATTTCAAATCTTAAACCCTAGGCTTAATCATTATCATCTTATCATGCCCAAAGTCTAAATGTGACAGATGAAATAGTGTTCATCTTTTTTAACAACCTAAGGGATAGTGTGCCCCGCCATCTTTTTTCCCTAATGTGAGAAAGGGCCCATCAGAGCATGGTGGACTCAGGAACATACCACAGACTCAGCCCTGGGATCCGAACTTGAGACTGTTTAGCAGTTGTTAGCTCTACCATCCAACCGCACACCCCATCTAATTTTAGCTTTACTCTATTTAAAGACTTCAACAGTTCTGATTTATTTCGTTTTCAAACTTAAAAAACATTTCTCTATTATGGCTGTTAAAGGTTAGCAGGAGGGAAAAAAGCTTTAATTGATACATTAACCAATTTATCATCAAGATATAGGCCACATGATTGTGGGACAAGAGCATATCTCATCCAACATTCAAACTTTTACGCAGCAGGATATTTGTCATGCTAACCACACTCTAAGATAAACAGTTTTTTTTTAAAAATATTTTGAGTCATCTTGAGAAAACAAATGAGTCTGTCAATGTCTTTAACTGTTAGGCTGTGCTAGAGATAAGATTTGAAGACAGGCAAGTTTTTACCATGAACTTTGACCAATTTAGTTTGTGTTCATTAAATTAATTAAATGAATCAACATCAGCAGTTCTATTCTGACATATTTGCTACTGACCCCATTACAATAGGTGGCCTGTTTTTTCTAGTTTTGACTAAATTATAAAACTTGTTCATAAAATTTTGGACAGTCGATACTTTTCACTTCATTAAAGAGTTAGATTTTGTATACATGGCACTGGAACTTGACAATTAAGATAAAATTTGGTCAATTTTAACTCACCCATATGCCATACTATAACATATCCATGGACCCTTCATATTATCTAGTATATCAGTCCCACTCCTAAACCAACCAACTATTTGTTACTAAAACCATTTGAGCAATCACATCATTTTAGACAAAGCGACTCATTAAATATTAGAAAATGTTCAAAACCTTGTTTTATCTTTAAAGTAAGGTTGGGTTACTTGATTGTTCATTAAATAGTTTTAAATAACAAATATTGAAGTACCCTAAAAATAAAGAAAACTAAAACCTAACCCTATCCCTACAAGCTGTTATCCCTCCCACCCCTCCCCCCCCCCCCCCAACCCTCCTCCCCCCCCCCCCTCCTCCCCCCCCCCCCCCTCCCTCCATGTAATTTACATATAATATATAACAAAACTAACCGACTACCTTTTCATGTTTTATAACTGTATAAAATGTGCAAAATCACTGATAAAAAGTAGCATCAAGAGTTGAACAGTCTCTAGACTACAAAGTCCTTTCCAAGAGCCACCCATAGCTTTTCAAATAGGCCTACATATTTTAAGGCTATTTAGAACAGAACAATTTTTATAAAATAATACATAAGTAAAAGCTTTATTAAATCTTTTTAAAGACCAGTCCAATATTTTGGCTAAAGTTGGGAAATCGCCCTTTCCCCCACCCCACTCACCACATAAATCAACCTATGCCTACATATAATAAAAGTAGGAGTTGGTGTGGGAGTGGATGCTGACAAGACGAACAACTTACTTTAAGAAAACAGTGGGAATTGGCGTGAGAGTGGATGCTGCTGCCCTGAGCCTCTCCAGTACCCCTAGATCAGCCTATGTATACACTACAGTAGTCTATAGACAAGACGAACAACTTACTTTAAGAAAACAGTGGTTTAGGCGTGAGAGTGGATGCTGCTACCCTGACCCCCCCCCCCCCCAGCACCCCAGGGCAGCTACAGTAGTCTACAGACAAGACGAGCAACTTACTTTAAGAAAACAGACAAGACGAGCAACTTACTTTAAGAAAACAGACAAGACGAGCAACTTACTTTAAGAAAACAGACAAGACGAGCAACTTACTTTAAGAAAACAGACAAGACGAGCAACTTACTTTAAGAAAACAGACAAGACGAGCAACTTACTTTAAGAAAACAGACAAGACGAGCAACTTACTTTAAGAAAACAGACAAGACGAGCAACTTACTTTAAGAAAACAGACAAGACGAGCAACTTACTTTAAGAAAACAGACAAGACGAGCAACTTACTTTAAGAAAACAGACAAGACGAGCAACTTACTTTAAGAAAACAGTGGGAGTTGGCGTGAGAGTGGATGCTGCTGCCCTGAGCCTATGTATACAGTACAGTAGTCTATAGACAAGACGAGCAACTTACTTTAAGAAAACAGACAAGACGAACAACTTACTTTAAGAAAACAGTGGGAGTTGGCGTGGGAGTGTATGCTGCTACCCTGAGCCTCGTTCCAGCATAAGATCATCAGATTAAACTTTCCGTTCCCAGCGTCCACAAGATTTCTGGTGTACCTGTTGGCAAAAGTTTTCAAGTTATTTGTGTATGACACTTTCAGGAGTACCCAGATTATCCATAGTTTCTTTCAGACATCTCCAGAAATTTAAGATGCTCCAACCCCGAAAGTTTCAAGGAGCACCAGAGAATAATGTCTGAAATGTCTTGGGTAATTAGGGGTCATCCATAAATGACGTCACGCTTTTTTTGACGATTTTTACCTCTCCCCCCCCCCTCCGTCACACGTCGTCACAAAAAGCCAGACTACCCCCCCCCCCTAAAATGACGACACACCTCAGCCTACAACCCAGCCCCCCTCAAAATTGCTGTTGATTTTTTCTTAAAACATCGATATTTTTTTCCAGAATTTTGTCAGAACTCTGTCAACATAGAGTATTTTGATCAATTCATATTACAATTTATTAAAACCGTTTTCTAAAACGCGAAAAAAAATTTATAATGCAAAAAAGTGACGTCACACCATCTGAACCCCCCCCCCCCAGCTCCCCCTCATCACACTCCGTCACAAAATTACGGACCCCCCCCCCCCCTCCCCCTATGATTGATTATTTTAATCGATTTCTATTAACATTTAAAAAAAAAAAAAACTATTTTTAAAACGCGAAATGACGGCTAAAATTCATTTTCTAACATAAATTGGAAGTGTCATTGTGTAGTCACTTTCTGAACCCCCTTCGTCTCGCATCGTCACATAATTCCCCGAAAGTAAATTAGACGAAGATTTTTTTTTTAAATAATTAAAAAGTAAATAAATTAGACTGGAACATCTCAAATGGCGGGCAAACTTACATAATTTACATTAACATTTTTGTTTGTTCCAGAAAATGTCCCAATCACCAAACTTTACCT